TCTTATTTTTAAATGTGTGTGTTTATTTTTGTCGTTAGAATTAAAATCGATTAAAGTTGTGTAATCCAAAGTATACATTCCTCGTGGGATCGACAATCCGGACTCTTAAGGTCCACTTTATTACTTGAACGCGACCCGTGCGCTTGCGGTACGATTTTCAGCAAACAGTGATCAGCGCAACACTGGCGATCGGGCACACAAAGCGATGGTGCAACACCGGCATCCGTGAGCGCCACACAAGTACCCCACCCGTGCGCAGCGACGCACACGCCCATCGGTGCTTCTTCTTACATTGGCACCCATTTGTTTATCTATTTCTCTGGTAGAGGTAAAGGAGATGGTAGATTTGAGGAGGTGGTGATGATTGTTGATATAGGCGGTGGTAGCGTGCAGTGGTCGTGGCAATTTGGGGATTGTTTGGTGAAACTGGCGGTTGTGGTCACAAGAGGAGGTGGTGGCTCTACGCACAATGACTCTGATTTTGGATCAGGTTGTGCAGTGATTTTGTTGACAATGCTTGTAGTTGGTGGTGGTGATGTTGGTTGTGGTTCTAATTTTGGATCTAGTTTTAGGCTGTGGTTCTAGATATGAGTTTTGGTGGAGGAAAGGGAGGAGACAGAGGTGGTGTGAGATGTTGGTGGTGGTCGTAGCGGTGATTAATTAATTTGGATTTGATTTTTTAGTGGTTTTTGGGTGGCTGATGGTTGTAGGTTGTTGGAGTTGTGTTTGTGTCTGTGCCTACGTTGCTGGCGACGAGATTGTGTTGGTGATGATGGCGCTATTAGGTCGTGTTGGTGGTGAAGGTCACAATTGATCGTGGCGGCGACATGTTACCAACTATCTAGTGCACGTGATCAACGATTTGGTTAATCTGGGATCAACGATTTGGTTATTTGTGATCAACTATTTAATTATAAGCCAAAAATTCAATAATTTGTGACCAACTAATTTTAAAATCTGTGATCGACAAATAAATTGTGGCCTATAAATTTTTTGATTTGTGACATATTAAAAATTTTTAATTGTGACCATAAAATAATTCATGATCAATTAATTTGATAATCTGTGACCTATAAATAGATACGCACATGTAATCATTAATTATATAATGTGACCTCAATATGCCCCCGTTTGAGCCCTATTAAATTAAATTTCATTACATTACAGCTCAAAATTCAATTAAAATTGAAAATATAGTCGTTATTGAATCTCACTCGTCTAATAAAAGTCAACAATAACAGCTAGTTTTTCAATTTTAATCCGATTTTAATCTCTACCAAACACACCATTAATGTCTAACTTGTGAATTTTCCCTTATATTTATTTAGTTATTTTCGTTTTGGACCTCGGTTTTTCGCAACCCAAACCGACCCTGACTTTTAACATGTTGAGTGATCTGAATCAAGAAATCAAGAAAAGATTATCTCAAGCCCTACATTTAAATTTTTAATTTCAAAATTCAGTTCTTAATAATTTTTCTTCATTAATCAGGTCTTAATTAATATATAAGGGTTATCACCCATCAACCTCTTCCCACTGTCCAGCAAACTGCAAATATCTCCAGTGTGTTGGGAAAAAAAAAAAAAACTTCTCCCTTTCTCTCAACGCTACAAATGGAACTTTCTCCCAGTATACATATACAAAGAGACATATTTTTATTCTTCTCTGACTAGAATGTTTATATCCCTTTTACTCTCGGATTCTTCTCCTCCGACATCGTCGGATTCCTCCCCTACACCAAATCTGACGATTCATAGAGTCGAAGGAATCCTATGAGAGATGAAAATTAAGCAGGAGGAGAAAGAAATGGAGTTTTAGAGTAAGGTGAAAATGGGATCAGGTCGAAAAGCGGGCATAAGGAGAAATAGATGGAGTTTTTGAAAGAGGTGATAATGGCTTTGAAAATGGACAGTGAAAGGAGTGCTGGTGTTAATATTGATGCCACTATGGCTTGAATTTACTATTGAAAGACTGGAAAAATTGGAGAAATTGGATGCAGAAAAAAGTAGAAAAATGTCTGACTTCTTGTTTTACAATTTCTCACTGTAACCATTTCTCTCTCATCATTTCATTTTTCTAATTTATGGACTTTTTCTTCTTCCACTGCCGCCTCTGCTTCTCTCCATGTCTTCCTCCCTACATCAACATCAGCTAACCACACAT